CAAGGCGCCCAACTCATTATTATTGTTATATTTTTTAAAATATATTGTATCTGAGCTAGTCCAGCGATTGTAACATTAATCTGAAGGGATGAATACAACTTCTTAACTGCTAATAAATCTTTTATTACATCTCCCATCATTAACTACACTATCCTATAAAAGAAAACGTTACATTACATTCCCTGATTAGATGAAATAGAAAATTCAAAAAAATAACACGTCAAACTATGAAGGGTTTAAATTTATTAAATTTATAATCGACCAATTTGTAAATTATTTGCGAAACACTTCGCGTGACTCAGATTCCGTTTTTCAAAGTAATTTCATGGTAAGGCTTCTTAACGAGATTAAACTTTCAGCAAATTCTCAAACGAAAAACTCCCAGTAGGATTCTAAATGAAATGCTTTCATCGTAATTAAGTAAGTCATCATTTTGTTATGACTAATTAATTGAAATTAATTCATGAAAAGCAATGTAAATAAGAAATTTAAGAAGTGTTTTAACAAAAACAGAACTGACTTCAAAAAATCTCTAATGGCACTAAAAAGTTTATAATAATACTAAAAATAAGATAATCAAATCATGAAAATTGAACCTATGTAACCTAACCTCTTAATAAAATTTTACATAACATTTTTTGTAGTCGGTGCCAAGCATCTCCGATCTGAGCATAAAATCGTTCTCTTAACTTTGTTAGCTGATTTAGGTGGATTAGATACGTAATTAAATACATACAACTATCTTTTAACCTATTTATTAGATAACCGCAGTATTCATTTTTGCTTAGCTTCTTACTATTTTTTTAGTAAGGTATTACGGTGTACAACCATTACCCATGGTGAACAATGGCGCCGACTTCATCACATTATACTTTTCCGGTAATGGGGATCGAACCCATGGGGGTATGGGTTCGATCCCCATTACCGGAAACATCTTCACTGTTCATAAATGATAATGATAATGAAAATTCAATTTAGTAATACTTGCTATTTTAAATATAAGTTTATTTTATACATAGAATAGGAACAATAACAGATTTTTAATAAGGTATGAGTATATGAGGAACTACCTAGCCGACTCTAAAAACAAGTCCATTTTTAACCGACTTCAAAAAAGGAGGAGGTTTCTCAATTCGACCGTATATATATATTTTTTTTATGTGTTCGTCATTTATGAACCGATTTTGATGATTCTTTTTTTGTTGGAAAGGAGATATCCCAAGGGTGGTACCGTGATAAGGAAACCGAGATCTGATGTTGGCATGCCAAAGAAATCGAGGGCAATCCTCAAATGTTATAGGTGTTGACAATGTTTCAATGTTTTTATATTAAGGAAAAACGAATCCGACTTTAAATATCTCGCTCTGTGTTCATTTTGTGATTGATTTTCCGGAGATCCCTTCGTATCTTCGGAGCTCAAGATCCAATAGCGATGAAATTAAAATGGGACCACATGGAAAGCATCAGCTCTCAAATAAATAAAGAATCATCAAAATCGGTGCTCCCGATCGAAGGTTATGACGTAACAAACATAAAACAATACAGTCGAATTGAGAACCCTAAATTTTTAAGACGCCAGTACTTAAAGCGGTGTGATGTCTTTTATTGAGATTGCAAAGCTTTTTAAATGTAACACTAATAAACTAGTCAAATAACAGTTATAACTGTTTAACGGAATATGATAATGTTACGTTATAATAGTCTATGAAAATTCAGTTCCATTGACGTGACACGTCCCGTTTTACCCTTTGGGTGCGGAACCCTAAGGCGAACAAAACTTATCGTAACCCCGTGATGAAAATAAATAGTTCCGAGGGGTCCTAAATTTACAAGCGACTCGTAAATAAAAAACCGCTTAGATTTGCCCAAGTTAACACGAGTCCGAACATTACCCGAGTTCTCGGTTTGACGGCTGTTGATGTTTATTCTCAAGGGTTGCTGTTAGCAGCGACTTTTAAACATATACAAATAGAAGTTCCGTTTTTGCTATCCCAATCTTAGTTCGTGTGGCAGATGTTATATTTTTCATTGAATGCAACATCGGCAGTATTTTTTATGCGGTGTTACTTTGAAACAAGTATCAAAATTTGAATAGCTAGGTCATTGGGTCACGGAGGGTCATATTACGCCGATATTGAGACAGAAACGATACCATAAACAAACTCTACGTCTATGTCTTCATCTGTTTTCACTTAAGGACCATCATTCTTTAGGATGGGTTTATGTAACGCTGAAACAGCTGTTGTCTGATTACATAAAAATACAGAATGTACACAAAATCCTAGAATTTTTAGGGTTCCGTATTTTGCGGGACTCTATAACTCTATATTACTTTCTTAAATTTCGTGTTCAAATATTGATTGACGGTATGAAACTATCAGTATGCCAGTCCGTCTCTCGCTTGTTTAGTGGTTGACAAAGCATGGACAACACCTAAAGTGTTGTAAATATCTATACAAGGCGGTCATTTGTTAGCATCAGGTGCGAAGCCTGCTCGCTTCTTCTACAAAAAATGTCATAGATTATCAAAGAAAATATTTTTTAAGCTCAGGAACTTCAAGGTGTTTGAAGTTACAATACTTTTATGTTTTTATCTTGCGCGATGAGCACTTCATAAATCGGCACTTAAAATTTCAATGAACAATTTATTTGTTGCCAGCACCAGATTTTAAACTCAGGTGGCTCGAGTACATTGAATTAAACGGCTTTTAATTAAATATACTCGAGCCATCTGAGCTATCACACTGGTTACCATATAAAGTTAATTTTGCAATATCTATGGAATTATTAATTGTGGTAGGGCGAGTTTACTCTGTTGCACTAATAGGTCCATCCGGATAAGTACCACGACCTCACAGAAGATCAGCGTGAAGACGGTGACCATTTTATTAAAAGGTGGCAACGCATCTGCAATCTTACGGTGTTGCAAATATCTCCACTTGCCACCATCTCACATAAAAGAAGATTACAGTTCTGCCATTTCATTACAATGCAGAGGCAAATCATATGCAGTTATTCAACAAATAAAAAAAAATCATTTCAATAATTAAATTACTAACAACAATTTTAACATTCGCTCCTTTTAGGCATTTTTGGCGTACACTAAGATTAGCTTTCGAATCCAAATGTTAAAGCAATAACACTTTAACCCAGTTCAATAGGCAATCAATTACAATGTCAAGAACATTTAAAGTAAATATTGAAGTTATACAAAATTCCAAAACTCGATTCGGAATATTCTTGAATGTGCTGTTCTTAACTTGATGTAACATTGAAAGCGAGTCACATACATGAATTAATTTTCCTCCTATCCAGAGAAAATTTATGACCACTCACTCCCGTTTTGAAGACACTTTGTAACGAGACGGGAACACAAGCGCTGACGTATTGTTCCACATTACAAAACCAATTCCCGTCCGTTCTTCTTTTTCTTTCCTCTTACGAATGAACCGTACATTATTACTGAGTATCTTAGGTCAAAAAGCTAACAATTTTTCCTTTACACCATCTTCATTAATCCCCAGCCCCTATCCCACCTTTTTTTTACGGCCTACTTAGCGTCAATCCTACTAGGGAACAAACACGAAAATACGGAGTAATTAACTGTTAATTGTTAATTAACATTGTGTTTTTTATTATCATTTTGGATTTTATTGCATTTTAGCATTTTGTTTATTATCTAATAATAATTATTTATATACATGATACCCCAGTGCCTGTTTAAACCCTAATTAACCTAGTTGATACATTAACTAACTACTTAAATAACGTACCCATTAATCCAGTTGAGTCTGCTGTATTTCTGGGAATTACAGTAGATTCAAAGCTCCAGTGGAGTCCCCATATATCATCTCTTGCGAATAGGCTGAGCTCCGCGGTTTTTGCGATTAGAAGGGCTAAGCAGCTAACAGACATCGACACTGCCAGACTTGTTTACTTTAGTTATTTTCACAGCATCTTGTCGTACGGCATTTTGTTATGGGGTAGTGCATCGGATATAAATTCTATATTTATTCTTCAAAAAAGAGCAGTCCGAGCAATCTACAATATCGGAGCCCGGAATTCACTCAGAGATCTTTTCAAAGAGGTTAATATAGTCACTGTTGCTTCTCAATACATTTATTGTAATGTTTTGTATATACGTCATAACCTTAATTATTACCTAAAGAATAGTGACAGACATAAAATAAACACTAGAAATAAGGACAAACTTACTACGCCATTGTTTCGTCTACAAAAAGTAAATAAGTCGTTCATGGGGCAAAGTGTGCGCATGTATAATAAAATCCCACAGTCGTAATTAAGTCTGCCGCTTGACCAATTTAAATGTAAAATTAAAAATCAAGTAATGATTAAAGCATATTATACCATTTCGGAATATCTCGACGACGCCAATGTGTGGAGTTAATACTGTTGATACTCACGTAGGCTAGAATAAGACCTAGATACCTGTATATTATATTGTACCCTGATATTTTTGAAAAAGAGCAACTGTTGAGTTTCTTGCCGGTCTCTTCTCAACAGAAACCGCTTTCCGAACCGGTGGTACCTTACAAACTTATACACATAATCTTTGATGTAAAATTTGACGATTCATAAGAGCGCGCAAGCGTCTATTTGAATAAATATATTTTTGATTTTGATTTGAACTTAAATGCTTTTATTCTGTTTTATGTAAATTTTATAAATTACATGAAAATTGTGTTCCCGCACAGATAGGGCAAACCATGTTAGATCAGCTTTGAAGATAATGAGGCATTATGTCCATCGCGGCCTTCATGATTAAACAGAGAATCTAAATACGATAATAATTAGTTTTCATTTAACCGTAAAAGTTCTATAACAAAATTATGATCGGGCCGTATCATAATTTTTGTGAAACAAAATGATAATTGAAACTGTATAAATGTCAGCACAATTCGTCATGCTGCAGTGATAGATAATTCGTGACGAAGCGAACGCGTGAAATTGTTTACTAATCGAAGATTTGCGGTCGCATAATGCGGGCGCGTGCAATTGTATTACTTCTCTTCTTCGTCGTATGTATTCAGGTATTCTTTTATTCCTATTACATTATCATCGTTATTACTCTCATTAACATCACCTTCATTGTTATGGGGGGGGGGGGGGGGGGATATTCATTTAGTAATTAGTTTGGTTTTCAATATTCACGTAGATAGATATCACATTCTATTGTAATTTATGCTCAACAGCCTGTGTGTTTTTAACGGTTTAATCGTCACTTTATTTTCTAAATTGCCTCACTGAGTAAACAACAGAAACCTATTCACTCGTGTTTTGAAGACACAAAGTATTGAAAAGGAAAAATAGACGTGCCGTTAGGTTAGCTAAACTTTCTAATAACTGTTTGTTTTCAGAATGCTCACTGCAACTGCGATGCGTCGGTGAGTAAGAAAATATCTTGAGCAATATAATAACTAATAAAGTTTAATAGTAAAAATTGCGTGAATTATTCGCAACTATTCAAATTCCTTCCTTAACTAACACTGGTGGTCTCTTCAGTTCTGGTGTTCAATTTCGATAGACTTGTTTATCACAGGCCAATTTAACACTAAGTGACATAATCTGTCACATAGAAAAATTATTCTATTTTTTCCATAAATTTATACTATAAAGATGTAGGGACGAAAATTAAAATCAAATCTTAATTGAATAATCACTTCCCATGATTAATAAGCATTATCGTCAGCTGAGATCACTGAGAATTGGAAACAAACAAATTTCATTTGGGTTAAATTAATACCGTAAGTTGTCAGGTTGGCCTTTTAAAGTTGCACATTTAGCACGAATATTTCGTTTTTTTCTCTCTACAAAATCTAAACACTGTGTGATGCAAACCGATTGAGTCGTTATCGAGATATGCGAAATTTATACGTACTACATTTACATTATAAATAATTTCTATTGATGTATATTGTATCAATTTAAGTTAAAGTTAAAAAGAAAAGTGGTGATGCCCTTTATAACTTTTTTTCAGTGCTCTGGAAACAACTGCAGTGCGGGGGTTTGTAAAAAAACTCAAGAATTTTTCTTAACTCATACTTAAGAATAAGTTACTTTATTACCTGTTTATACATTCCAACTGATATTTTACAGAACTATTTGAATGTAAGCTGTGTGGCCCATGTAAGTAATTATACTAATTGGTTCATGCCTCTTTAATAAACGGTCTTGTCTTGTGTTCATTACTTTACTTAATTACTTTATTTGTTTCAGTGCGACAGTAATACATGTAATGCAAAAGTACGTATTGTGAAAGGCTACCTGTTCTAAAATACAGACTTATAATTTGCTTGCTCTATTAGAACGCATAATAAAAAACATTTCAATGTCACTAACAACTTAAAAACGTCCAGACCCCTCGAAGTTCATAGCTCACGTGAAGCATAAAACTCAATCCTCAGTTGTGATAAAGGAGAGGGAACGTACTCCCTTATCGGATATTTCTGTTATTAACATTAATTAACATTAATATCAATTTTCTAAAGACCGTGGAGGGAATAAGGCAAAATGCAACTTTTTGAATATATACAATTAAATCATAATATCCGAAAACGTAAACATTAAGAAAACACGCCAAGTGCGTAGGTTTCGTCGTTATCATTAAAAACGGCAGAAAAATCCTGTCTGTAGCATGGGAGCCCCACTTAAATATTTTTTTATTCTGATTTTTAGTATTTGTTGTTATAGCGGCGACAAAAATAAATCATCTATGACAACTGTCTAACTATCACGGTTCATAAGATATAGCCTGGTGCCAGACGGACTGACAGACAGACAGCGGAGTCTTAATAATAGGATCCCGCTTTAGTCGTTCCTTGGGGAAGAAATCTCTTCATTCCATTGTGACAGTTGCAATATATTCTTACCGAATTCTGCCATTTTGTATTATTGTTATGGTTTAATTAAACGTTTTCAAAACTTTACAGTGCCACGGTATCCAGTGTTCGGCGTCGGTGAGCGTTATTAAATCGTTTTCCCTTCGTTTTTTCGGCTTCATTTTCTTGATAATGTAACAAAATACACGTTCACAGTGCGTCGGCTTATCGTGCGAAGCGTTTGTACGTACACAATTAAAATTATTTATTTATTTATTCAATTGATTGCAGCTTTGACTTTGATTGAACAAACATAAGTAGGATAAAAATATCATCGTCATCATCATGGCCCCTCCTCCTGTCCTTATCCCACCTACGTGTGGTCGGTGGAACGTATGAATCATGTTTTAAACGGTGTTGGCTAGTAATTTTTACGACCGGCCCCGTCTGTCGCATGCCAACGGGCCTTGTGAATAAAAATATTAGTTTTTCTATAAATCATCTTCAATTGCTGGATATGGAACTGAAATATCAATAGCGTAGCCGCGACACACAACTATTAATAATTGCTTTTTTTGTAAAAGTAGTTGCTACATGTGGCAGTCTATGGGGAGGCCTTCGTTAAGCAGTGGACTTGAAACAGGCTGATATGACGAATGATCTTGTATGCCACTTTAGCGTTACTACCCGTAACTTGCTCTTAACCACCGAAGGTTAACTCGAAGAAAATGCTATTTAGCATTAAGTTCATCTTTGTACAAACTTTTGGTACAATAAAGAATTTTTCAATTCAATTTAATTCAATGATGATATCTATCATATTTAAAGCAATAACAGGAATTATTTGGAGTAAGAAAGACATTTTAGGTGTTAATAAGTCCAGCTGAGTTAGGGAATCCCTAGTAATAGGAAAAAATGATTCATAAATTAACTTAGATTGTTTAAAATAAGAGTGAATTTAAAAATAAATTTCAGCGGTTATCCAAGTGTGATTTCCTGAGTTTAAAATCAATCCGACATCATGCTAATTGACCACCATCGGGTCCGTTAGTTAAGCGCCAGCCAACTCATCTTAAAGCAAAAGATAAAAAGATCACTTCTTGTTTTAATTAAACATATTTCGATAAACCGAAACTTAAATCATCGTTTCATCGAAAGTTATTACGTTTAAAACCTAAAAAGTTTTGGATTCAGTTCATCAGATTGTTGTTTTGTTTTGGATTCGAATTTCAATTCATCAGATTATGTTGTTCTGTTTCAAAATTAGTGCGCAGGCGAGGGTTGCAGTTCTTCCGTAAGTTTTTCCAAAACGACAAGTCATCATATTTACGGCAAACTACACAACTAAAGACCACGTCTGGTATAGAATTAAATCTTGTCTAACATATTGTTAAACGGTTTTGTTTAGCTCAACCCGTACGGAATTTGTTTGTTTGGGTCAAAATTAGAAATTGAAATTTAAGCACCTTGCCGTTGTCAGATTGATCTGAAATTTGGTACACATATTTAATTTAGATGACAATAGAATATTAACAAAAAAAAAATTAACTAAATAAAAACATAATATAAAACCGTTTAACTTAAAAGTTTTTAAACGGTTTTTTATATTGACATACTCAGAAGTTGTTTTATGTGTTTTCTACGATATGTCTAGAAAATTAGAAATAGTACTAAATAAATACATGTAATTTATTTTTTCAGTGACTAACCAATGTGGTCATGAAAAATTCTTTGTCTTGTGAATAGAATAATTATTCGATAAATTTATGAATATACAAGTGTACCTCCCATTTTAGTGCATTGGTGTCGCCTGCAAGTCACATGTGAGTATGTACCGTAAAGTTACTTATATTTATACCTTTCCGATGGCCATGCGGTCGTAGCTGAACACGGTTTTGAGGACTGGTAACAAAAACATCAACCGTTCTGAACATGACAGTATTTTTTTTTCGGACACATTTTTTACACAACGTTCTCTAGTCCCAAACTAATCAGCGCTTGTACTATGGTTACTAGAAAACTGATAAACATACTTTTCTTTTGTAAATAAATAAATATTATACATATATTAACACCCAGACACCGGAAAAACACGATGTTCATCACACAATATTTTTCCAGTAGTGGGGATCGAACCCACACCCTCTGGCGCAAGAGGCAGGGTCACTACTCCCCACTCCAATCGGGTCGTCGCAATTACTAAGGTTCCTCTCTTATTCTTAGTACTGAAGACGATTCAGACGCCTTTCTATCATCAATTGACACAATATTTGAGGTTCGATTTAATTAAGTGGCAGGCGATCAGACACCTACCAACATCATATCAGCCCTGGGGTAGACGTGAAAGTATTGTCTAAATAACATGTATTTTCAAAAAATATTATGTTGCGGTTTATACCCTCTTTTTACGCTAAGTTAATAAGATTACAATGTATTATTCAAATTATTTAAACTTATTATTTTATTTTAGTGCAATGGAAGCGGATGTCATTGGAGCAAAAATATTTGGTAGTCACCAATAGAAGTACTTTAGTGGTATGTACTTATAATAAAAATCATCTACTAAACCTGAAGATATGTATAGTAGGAACCTCTATTCATATATTAAATATATTTCCTAAAAATAATTAGCAAAATGATAACTCGGAATGAAATTATGAAGTCAATCTGTTAATGTATATTTTTAATATTATATAATATAAACATCACGCCCGCCTTTTTTATTCGCAGAATATATTAAAAGCTTTAGCGTACTGGAACGTATCTTACATTCCAGTACGCTAAAGCTTTTTAATTACATTAAATCCAGAACCCAAAAATTTTAGCATTTTATGACATACATAAAATGATGTTGCGTAAAAGACCAAAAATGATGCTTATATTTGAAATATTTTGAATAGATAAATTATATAAGATTTATAACAACACATAAACCAATAGCTATATACACTATTTAACACAACACACACGTTGACTGACATGATATTGTCAGAATTCCTTTAAGACTAGCCAGAAAGAAGAAGAACACAACACACAATTTAACTACGATAAAAGACTGGCCTTTAAATTTACTGACGTTCGATAAAAGTCATGTAATCATCTAGTTTAACGGTGGTAGGGCCACGCACGAATGGGCAGGCCCGTCCCGGTAAGTACCACGACCACACAGAAGACCGGCGTAAAGTGGAAATATGACAAATACTTTCGCGTTTCGTCTGGTGAGTAAGGTAGCTGGAGCCCAATTTTCAAAAGGTTGTCAACGTATCTGTAACCCTCGGGTGTGGCAGATATCCGTGCGCGGCGGTATTAACTTAACATCAGGTGAACCGTCTGCTCGTTTGACAACTTTTCGCATAAAAAAAATAAAAAGTTTTATATAATAAGGAAAATTTAGCATTCATTAAATTTGCTGTCAGTCCGATTCATTGTTGTTTCAATTTGGAAATTGAACAAACAAATTTCGCTGAAAATTGTTTTCGCTGCGGTTCTTTTCTCGTTATCTAGCACCCTTTATCGCGTTGTCACAGACCATTGTATAGTGCAGTAAAATTTTCAACAATTTTCGATTTGACATTCATATTGCATTATTCATAGACTTGAAGTTAATATTTTTCATATATTTTTTTTTTGTAAAAGGTTGTCAAGCCCATCGGCATCAAAAACACCTGAGGGGGTTATAGACGCGTTAACAACCTTTTACGTAAAAACCTTTTACGAAACTCTAAAGTATGATACTTCCAATTGTCGCTGGTCTCCCATAATTACCAGAACGAGTCTGTCTGAATCGGGAACACTATTTATGCCAATATTATCGTACAGAGTCTTTTAAAGGGAAAAAAATCACACGCTGGCGATCTAATGTGTCATAAATCTGTCATCTTTGTGACTGTTACTACAACACTGAACGAAACTTCCGCCATAGTTCAGGGCGCTAGGTAGCAACCAATTACTGCGTCGTCATTACCACTCCAACAGCCTAAGTGTAACAGTCAAAAATAAGCAAGTCATAAATCATGTGATGTATAAATTATATGTCCTGTACTTTATTACATCCATTTCTCTACAAAATTTGGTCCTTCGAGCCGGATATCCGATCGGATATCGGCCTTTCTGTTTTTTGTTACATCCTTGCATAGATATTGAAAGCTCGTTGAGGAAATTGAAGCTTCACTTTTTTCCCACATTTCTTACGACTTGGTTAAGAGCGCTTCATTATTACCAATCGATTTAAATTTTCAATGAAAATTGGAATTTTTATTGGTACATTACCAATTAAATGTTTTTCCTACAAAACTGGAAACTTGAGTAATTGCTTTCGCTTTGGTTTCGTTTAGTAGTGGCCTTTGGATAACTCAATGACGGTCCACCGCTATACAGAAAAAAATGTTCAATACTGAGTGACGTCGATTGACTAGCCATTACGAACCGATCTTGAGTTATGAGCATTTTTCATTGAGTTTTGTCATGTTCATTTAAAGTTTGAGTAATACATTAGCGGAATAAACACTTACAGCTAAAATAAAATGAAAGTTATGAAGCTTTCAAAAAGGTTCTTGAGCTAAAATAAAACAAAATTTATTAATCTTTCAAAAAAATACGTATAGCCGTATTTCTCTTCTAGTGTTCAGCTACTGATAACACCTACGGATATATACTCTTGAATGAATTCAATAACTGTATTGTACATTATTTTAAGTAGAACAGAATTTTCTTGAAATTGGCAGATTACTTCGAAATTGGCTATTCGATTCCTCCTTCTTTGTAAAGATTTACTTAATATAACAGGTCTTATAGCTTCGTTATGAGCTGTATTGTCTTATTTATTACTATAATGTTAGCTTTGCGGTTGGATATTCAAGATAAGCTAACGGAATCCCACAGATGTCGCCTGCCGGAAAGAGGCAATTTTCTTTTTATGCCCCTCGGATACTTGTTACTGCCTTGTTTAACGACTTAAGCGAGGCACAATCTTTCTTTATACACCTGGGCCCTAAGTCTATTTTTGTAATCTGATTTTTAATAGAGAGTTACCTAACTTATTACTACGCACTGTATTTAACTGTGTAGTGAATTTTCTACATATTTTTTTTATAAATGCCAAACGATGTGATTTCTTTTTATTCAAATTGTAACCCATGACATAATTTGAAAGGTTTTTCGCTGCCTGGAAAAATATTTTAAATATATCAGAAAATTTCCCTTGTGCGAATTGTATACGGACGTTTGATTTATAAATCCGCCATTTTGTGTTTGACAACATGTATAAATTTAAGAATTCACTCACTTTTCCAAATTATAACCTTCGCATTATTAAAAAAGAGTCTTTAAAAATACTAGTGTAACACTAAAGTTTTCTGGGTGGTCATAAAAAAAAACCTAACATCGATAATAACCTAACATCGGTCATAAAAAAAACCTAACCTATCCGGATCCTTCAAACCTAACCTATCCGGATAACCTTCTAACCTAACCTATCCGGATCGCTCTGTGTCGGATCTGTGACTCATTTTGAACCTAATATTCGAGACATTAAGTGTACCCTAAGTCACAAATTTTAAATATTAGAAATTGTTAATAATGTTCATGAAGTAGAAACTTGTGTTTTTGTGATATATCCGTGTATTTGTGTCTTCTTACAACGTAAAAAGTGAAAACGTAAGTTTTAACTTAAAATAATAGTCTATAATGAATAATGGACGCACATTAATGACGGATTTCAGTTGTATGAAATTTAAAAACTTTGTTAATTTTTTTCCTCATAATCTAGTGGTTTTCATTGATTATAACTTATATAATATTTAATTATTAACATTTCTCTATCGATTAAATTTTTTTTCTATTAGCCGTGCCGGGGCCCATTTTATTAAAAGTCGACAACTTAACTGCAACCCTGCCGGTGTTGCAAATTTCCATGGGCGGCGGCTATAATCTTATCTTCTTAACATTACGTGAACTGTCTTGCCATCTTTTCACATCAAAAAAATGTAAATTGAGAACGTTCGTTTGCTGTAAAGGAAGGATATTCAATAGCTAAAAATGCAGTAAAAGCAAATTAGATAACAACTTCGTCATTTTGGTGTGGTGAGTTTAGTAGCTAGAGTGTCTGGACGGTAGAGTTAATGGTGAAAGAACAAGATGCCAGTGGCGAAAGTTTTGAGACAGTTTTTCCACACATTTGAAGTTTCATCTTAAGTGCTTAGTTAAGAGGGACTAGCACTAAAATTAAAAATTAAATCAAAATTTCAATAAACTATTTGCAAACAAAAATTATATTGCCGGGATGGAAACGTTAGTAACATTCAAAGTACTATCGGTTACTGTAACTGTAAGTTAAAACTACGCTGTAAACAGAGTCATTCGCAGAGTAAGCCGAGAATTTGAATGCACTCTTAAGATTTAACGAGGCATGAAACGATTGAGGAACCTAACGTTTGAATAAAGTTTACATGGAAAAACTGAGTTCTTTTGTGTTTTAAATTAATAATGCGTCCTATTAAAGTCCTATTGCGTGTAAAGTTACTCATTTCCATTGATGAATTGGGAAATTTTTTCGCTATTTCCTAACTGTGGTGAGGGTACGCATAAGGTCCGTCTGGAGAAGTACCACGACCTACAGAAGACCGTCGTAAAGTGGAAGTTTTACACTCCTGCGTTTCATCTGGTGAGTGAGCTAACCGGAGCTCTAAAAGATGGCAACGCGTCTGCAATCCTACAGATGTTGCAAATGTCCATGGGCAATGCCATCCAATCCGCGGTGGGGTCCCGTGATGGTCTATGCCCTAATACCCTCGGTACAGCGGAAGCCTTTACCCGGAAAGTGGGACATAAATAGGCTGTTACTCTTTTACATTACATTTAGTCAAACACATATACGTGAGTATTGTATAGATATACATATATACGAAGCTAGGATACACTTTTAATAGGTCTTACCATATTTATAGTCACGGATTAAATAATTGAATTCTCATCTTTCAATTATTATAACCTATTACTGACGGAACAACCAACCTTTTATCATACAAGAACGAACTGAAATTCTGTACTAAAATGGCGTCGTCCGTCTGGCCATTTCTTAACGGTAACCATTAAATATTTTTATCCAGCTCTTATACAAAGGCCTACATTATCTCGGCTCATCAACTTGGATGCTTGTGAAATGGCCATTATAAAAACCGGCTAAGTGCGAGTCAGAATCTCGCACGAAGGTTTAAAATGGCAAAAAAATCACGACTATTGTATGGGAACCCCACTTAAATATTTTTTTAATTTGTTTTAGTGTTACTAAAAATACTTCATCTACTATCACGGTTCATGAGATACAGCCCGGTGACAGACGGACAGACAGACAGCAGAGTCTTAGTTATAGGGTCCCCTTTTACCCTTTGGGTACGGAACTCTAAAAACGAAGAGCTATTTGAGTAGCATTGGCCGACTAGTGACGTTTGAGTGAATCTTTCTATAAAATCCATTGCAGCCGCTTTAGTGGTTTATAATGATATAGCGCTT